CCACAGTGTATCCAATCTATCCAATACTTCTCATCCCTTTCCTCTTTATTTCTCAGGCCAATAGCCTTAGGGGAATTGTCATTGCTGAATGCACTCCAGTCAGTGAGCAATACTACGGAGATCTGCAGAAGTTTGTAGTCTTGGAGCTCGGACTTAAACTACTCTTTGTAACATCTCAAACAGAAGCTGCCAATCTTCTCATCCAAATGGTACTACAAAGTCACGAAACATTTCCTAGTTTGTTGCTTTGTGCTTGTTTGTTTGTGTGTTTGAGATTCTAAAGACACAGTATTGAAAGTTCCAAATATTCATGAATCATGGCACAGTGCTTTCCCTCTTTTCTATGGTCTGGCTGGAAAGTGATAAAGTAATTTCTCACCTTGTGGATTAACACAGCTTCAATATTCAGCTACCCATTCCTTGAATGGTGGCTCTGCTAACATAACTATCTTGGATGGGATTTTATATGGTAAGGTTAATTCACTAAAATAGCTAATTATTTTTTTTCATGGAATCCCAGGTAAGCGAGGAACACAAACCCCAGGCCAATCCCTTCCTCGTTAAGAGACGCAAGCAGTCTATTGATGCTGGTGTCCTAGCAACTGTGCAACTCATCCCTAACGTGGGTCCAGTCAAAGGAAAAGTCTTACTACAAAGATTTTGGAGCATTCAAGGAATTTGTGATGCATCAGAAAAGGTAAGTGCATGCATTTCTTCTCATGAATAATTAGAAACCACTGGATTCTTAGTGTGAAGTTAGTTCAACTGTATTTAAAATATGAGTCCACTAACAAGCACTCTTGTATTTCCAAATCCCAAAGTTAAGCAATAAATACAAACGATCCACTTCCACATGCCCTCCAGAATTTCCAGAAGATTCTTGTAACTCAATCCAGGCGAAGCCTAAAAATCTGTTGGAAGAAAATGGACACCATGCTTCAGCAAATACATGATTTGACAACTAAACAAACCCATGAAGAATTATTGTTCCAAATTGAAGACACGGTTACCGTTACAAAGCTAGGCGAGCAGAAATACGTAGGTTTTGCATCTCAAAAGCCAATTTTTCTTCCCATAAAAAGATTTCTGTTTATACTTTGTCTTAAATGAACAGGAGCTAGCTGAGGTTGTTGGTAGAACCAATGCAAGCAACATCAGGGCTTTTTTCCACCATAGGACATCGCAGGCTATTGGACAGTCATCTTCTGTCACCTGAGCTGTCAGCTGTCACCCTAGCTTTTCTGTGTTACCCGAAGTATTGTGTATTCCAAGCCATCGAGTGCCATCTGGTAATTTGTAACCTGAACCAGTCTGTCTGCTGAAATTACACCTGCTGCCTGAGTTGTGGATTGTCCCTTGCAACATACCATGGTCATGTGACATATTGCTCCAGAGTTTTGACATTAATAAACTTCAGATCAAAGTTGCTGACTCAATGAAAGTGAGATTGCACTGTTTGATAACTCATGAAGGAAAGTTATCAAACATCCAGCAAAAGACATTCAAGATATTGAAGTATTAAGGTTGCAGTACTAAATGAGACATAGGAGCAAGGGCCAATATAGTAGAATGAGATTAAATTGTACTTTGGTCTTAAATGCATCTTTTTGCTTCTTATTTGAGGGGGTTAAGTATTGGTTTTGTGTAATTTTGTAATTATGTTCGTGTACGTTCTTTGTGTTTTCGTTTGGTGATGTTAGAATGTAAATTTCTTATTAAATAAACTTGTTGATATGGAAAAAATTACTGTTTAAAAGTGTTACCTTTAGAACTTTTTTTTTGTTCTTCGAAAGGACTGAATTGATACATTTTCTGTCGGATGACAGTGTTCCAATATCAAAGCTCATTCAGAATTCCATATGAAAACATGCTTCATGAATTTCTGTCTTTGCTAAAATATAAAAAAGAAATGCTCGGAAGTATCCCTTTCAGCATGGAAATATAAGGATTGTTCAAACTTTGCCTCTATTGTGAGACTGGCTTTAAGATACTTTAGGGTTCTCGGTGATGTACATACTATGATAACACAAGTTAAACTAATTTTATTTTGGACATCAAAAGGCTCTTAATGCTCCTGAGCCAGGAGATTTTTTTTTAATTCAATGGCCCCGATCAATACGCTGCAACAAACTACCGAAGAACTTTTTGTCGAATTATTATTACTCGTTCAACAGAGCGCCCTCATTTGAACAAATCGACGTGCTTGTACGAGCAACTATATGAATATTCATGACATTAATATTGAAATTTTGGTACGGTATTTATTCATTTGCGGTCGCCATCTTGAAATTCGAAAGGTGAAGAACATCTGCCGACTGTCTGCCGAATGGAAATTTAGGGATTGGAGTCGCAAAATCTTCGCCGAATTTGCCTTCCAGTTGCTTCTAGCTTTCACCTTCGTCAGGACATTTGGATGGATCCAAGAAGCACCTGGTACCAGCCCGAGCAACTTGGACCAGCTACCGAACTTTGGACGAATATTTTCAACAGTGCTACCCGAAGTCTCCGGGACCTTCAAATGGGCGACGGCAAATCGGCAAATAGCGACGGGAATGGACTGCATGATAACGATGCCAGGACTCGAACCCTCACCCCTCGGGACACGCAGGATTTTATCCCTTTAAATGGAGACACTGGAGTCGATTTGGCTACAAAACGTTCAGCAGTGAATCATGGCTTCCAGAACGGTGAAAGGACTAACTTGAGCAGCAATAATTTGTTCAACAAGAGGAGGAAAGACAATCTGGCTTGCACTTATGACTGGAACAGTTCGGGAAAGGTTCGCTATGGTGGAACGCCCTGGTGGTCAAGGCAAACTGTTGGTAATCAGCTGGTTTCACCGTACCCGGACTTGACCAACCACAATGTCGGACTTGGGTACGGTTCATGATTTGATGGTCCTTGGAAAGAGTAACTTAGACATAGATAGGCCTAGGATTGATTAATTAGGAGTCTGGGAATCATAGGCCCTATACATGTATAAGAAAATCTTGGTATCGATGCATTGTTACTAATAATATCTTCTGGAAATGTACATCATAGGCTACATGTACAGTTTGTAGGCTACATTGGGAAAAAAATGTTGCATCCCGACTCCACTTCAGCGGTTGTGTACAAAGTCAGCTGAATTCAAGAAAATTTTCGATGTTTTCCTGATAAAGCAGGAATTTTTCTCAGTTCCAGATTCATGTCTTTTCAGCATTTCTACAATGATTGACCTTTATTGAAATGATGGTAGGTTAGTAGCTTGAACATTTGAAGTTCACCTGCTTGAACTTGTTAAATTGAAATATAGGTATATTGGGGCCTATAATGAATTCAAGAAAATAAATGCACAATAAAACAAGATTTTCCTAATTTAATCTGATTTGTAACCATAAATTTTGCCATTCTGATTCATGAAAGGCTTGTTAATGTCAATATTATACATGGAATGCAGTCAATTTATACTTCAAACCGAATTTCCAAATTTGGTCTTATTTTTACAGTAGCTGGTTCAAGACATACTTTGCATCGGGGAGATGTTAATTTTTAATTACAGGTTCTGCCCACCTGAGTAAGCTTGTAAATTTTTTCGCAAGTGCTCGGACAAGCACTGAGTATAGCGTTAATAAATATGTACGCTGCGATAGGGCAAAACCTGTCATTAAAAATTACATTAGGTTTCTTTACAATTTGCCAAGGGCACGATTTCTAAATATATCCAGTTGTGTAAGGAACTAAAGGTTGCTCTGTGTTTGCATTGTGTTACATGCACTGTCACAAGTCATACGCTTTCAAAGCTCAATTTGTTGCTACTGTTTGAAGATTGTGCTGAAAACAAGAGGAAAAAAGAAACTATCAGTCCTACACTTCTGGATGACAAAAAAATATGCAAATGTAGGCCTACATATATGTTCGTATCAAATCATGTAGGCCTAATATGTGACCCACTCTGCAAAAAAGTCGCCCGATGCAAAAATGTGTACCCCATTCCATGTGCCCAGAGTGAAAATATTTGGAAATATTTTGAGGTTAGTTGTTTGACCCGAAAGACTCTGTTGCTAAGGAAAACCAAAAGTGTCTAATTTAAGGTTAATGTTTTTGTTTGTTATGTTTAAAGGGCATTATCTCAAAAAGCAAGTGGGATAAAATGAAATGATGTGAATGTGTAAATGGCAAATGACTCCAAAACCCAAAATGCCACAGGAGTGAATTATATATCAAATGAAAGCTTAGAATGTGAGCAATTTGATGATTATATACATGTATATATAACTCAAATTAAAAAAAAAATGACATAATACACCTTTTTGCAGAGCCACTCACATTATGAAACTATCATGTCTACGTTTGCATGTGATTTCTGATGCTGCTGAAGTAAAAGTCTATTGCTACCTTGGCATATTTAACCCCTGGAATTTTTTACTTTTTGTACACTGAATCAGTAATTGAAACCATTAATAATATTGAGTAGTACGCACTGTATACTTGAATGGTCATTTAGCAGACACATCCTTGATAGCTTTTCAAAGACATTTTTTAATCTGTTAATTTGGCCTTTTCAATTTACAGCTTAAGCCGTGAGATTGACGATTTCTTCTGTTTTATGTTTCCTCGTGTTGAGGAGCATCTCATGCGAAGTGAGGTTGTCCAGAGGATTGAGGGCATTGTCAAGAACATTTGGCCAGAAGCTCGGGTAAAGTTTCTCCCATCATAACTGAAATCTAGAAATCTTTCATCCATGTGATTATTACGTCAGAACAGAGTTAAGGTATAGAGGGATCCCAATGCAACGCTTTTAGCGGCGATCTGTGCATTTCTGCGTTTGAAAACGAGGCTGTATGTGTCAGCTTCAATCCTTAATAGGATCAGACGATAGAAAGTAAGGAGTCAAGACACAAAATACATAAAGGTATGTTAAATTCAGACTTTTCAGGCTGCAAATTATTGTGGAAGAGTCAGGATGCTTCGACACGTAAAATCAAAAGAAGAAATAACAGCAATTTACCACGAACTAACATACCTGCGATGGTCCTGTATCTTGTGCAGTGGGCGTGGTTTAAATTGAAGTGGCATCACACTTATGAACCGGATACTGCATGTACCCGGTACTGTGTCGACTCCGCGCGCGCGCGCGAGGAAGTTCAACACAGAGAGCCTCGGTTTCGATGCAGATATGCACAGACGGCGCTAATGTGAAATCCATCTATTCCAGGCTGAAAATTTTCTTAGGAATACATTTTATTCATCATTAAAGACGTTTTAGGAGTATAGTAACGGGGATTCTTGACAAAATTAGGAAATCGTTTTTATGTGTATCAATTTTTTTAAACAAAAAACGGAGGCTGTCTTGTAGCACATTTAAGCAAGACCCAGGTCCAGCCAGCTACTTAACAAATAATTTCATGATCCTGCTCTGCAAAGTCATGTGATCAGCAGATGTCTTGTGGGAACAACTAATGTAAACTCACATATTATTCAGCTTTCTATTCCAGTTGTACATTTACATATTTTCTATTATTTTTCTATGTTGTATTTCATGTTTTACTTGGTAACTCTACGTGTACATGTATGTCTGCAGTTGTAAGCATGTCCGTGTGCACTATATAACAAAACAGTTCTAGTAATACTACTGTTCAATGCATTATAAATGTGACTTGTCAGAAAGGTCCATAATACTCATTTTGTTGGAGTGATGCACAAATGTACATTGCGTGTAGCTGGGAAATCCCCGGCTGAGAAATACTTGTAATAATACGGACAAAACTTGTGGAACAATACAGTTTGCACTACCCTACATTGAGCAATTGGGGGAGCAGTGTAGGACGACGTGTACTTGAACATGGACATGTACAGGAACAACGTGTCCCTGTGTCTGTATGGATTTATGTGTGTTGTGTCCTTCGTACAGTTCTTTGAGACAATGTATACACAGTTCTGTTTAAAGCCCCATCTTAACAATTATAGTTTTAAAAGATTGTGAAGTTAGAAATTGGAAGATAAAGTCATTGGAGGTGGTTCTGATACGTTGAGATTCTTTGTTCTGTTTTTTTTTTTTTTCTGTCAAATGTAATGAAAATAGCTCAGAAAGGAAATTTAAGAAACAGGGAAAAGATTCGTCGTAAAACAGCAATGAGTTCACTTTTTAGGTTTGTAATATTGAACATGTGTAGCATTCAAGAAGATGAGTTTTCTTGAACAGAAAGGTGATACATGTATCTCTTTCACTTCTTTTCTTTTGAACTCGTAAGTCACATGTGGAAGCTGTACATGTAGACTTCAAAGAAAAAAATCCAACTTATCTGAAAAGTGTGCCCTGTATGGGTTGTAAGGATGTAATCTCTTATATATTAATTTTATTCTAATTTTAATCATTTAGTTATTTTGATTACAAGTTCAAGGTTGATTCTCAAATTTCTTAATTTATTATTTTTCAGGTGGAAATCTATGGAAGCTATCGAACTATGCTGTATCTGCCAACAAGGTGAGTTGAAAACATTCATTTGATTTGGGCCTGTGATCAGATTAAGGTCAGTCCATTCATGCTTCGTTGATCTATTGAATGAGTCACATCATCAGTGAAGAACTTGACTCATCAGATCGGTTTGTACCGTAGCTTTATGCTTTGGACATGCAATAGAACATCATATGAATACTGTAGTTTTTGATCACTACCAATCTATTGAGTTGCAGTCGTGATGGAGTCTGTCTGCTTTGTTATTTAACGGATAACAAACGCACATTCCAAAGCATCCCATCCCTGCTCATGCATATCATGGCCAAAAAAAAATCCATGTATGCCTTTGATTTGTAGTTGAGGTTGGTTGTTTCATAATACCAAACTGTTTCACATTTGTAATGGAGTAATTCGAATTCTTGTAAGAGGAAGAATGAACTTACACCACTGAAAATGAAACATTAAAACAGAAACCTATCAAGCGTAGACACACCCTCATTTAAACAAATACTACTAACATTTAAACTTTGTGGCTGACGTTCACATGACATGTACATGTACTTCCATAAAACAAGTTGTGAGCACTTAAATTTATGTTTATATGTTGTGTGCTATACAATCGATTGCATGTCATTTCTCATATCAGTAATTAACAGCATGAAATCTGTATGCATAAAATAGGTCCAACAAAACGTGCAGAAGTTCTGAACTTAAAATGGTCTTTCCCAAGCAATGCGAAATATGTCATGTGAAATGATAGGAATTGTTCCAGTAATACTTGATAGTAAGTGTTGACAGAAACCAGTAGCTAGAATGTACATTTGTTAAGGAAGTAATGGCAGGGAACAGACTGTTTTCCTGGGTTTCCAGCAAGGTGAGATTGAGGCCTGCCTGCAGTATATGTACTGTACATGTACATGAACCTATCAGACGGAACATACATCTAAACTAGGTAGTTTCCTGTTACTTGTAGGTGCAAAGGTCACAGATCCTTGGCCTTGAATGGACAAAAAGTATGAGCATTTCTGCAGTATGGCTAGTATAGGTACATGTATGGTACATGTACAGTACATGGAGTCACTGGGTTTTAACCAATATTGATTTGAACTGCCTGGATATTGCTACATGTGTACATAGAACCTGTCCCAGTCAAGCTCTGTGTAGTACACAAATGGCACATTCTTTACACATGCAACACAACTTGAACACCAAACTTCAGTTAGCCTAACACATGCACCTGTAGCGGTTGGGCTCTTTGGCACAACATGTACATGTACATGTGTAATGTCATCAAAATACTACAGATTCTGGGGTTGAATGGCCAAATGTGGATTGTGAAATGTAAAATTTATACAAGTGACTCCTGACATGCAGGGATCTTCCTTGGGGGAGCTTTCTTCCTGAATTGTCCAAACTCCAGCAGTGCACTGTAAGATCTTGGCATGTTCTTTGTATTTGAAATCGAAACCAGATGGAAAATTAGCTACCTTTCTTGGTAAATGCAGTTTTGTATCAAAGTACAGTGGAAGGCCGCTCGCTATAAGGAACACTGATAAAGTGAACATCCTGGAATACTGAACATCCCCCCGTGGCTCCCGAATTTTCAATGCACTTTTACCGAACATTACAAATTTGTTTTAAATTAAAAAAAAAATTAGAACTGCTGATAATAACTCGAAGTTGAGGAACATTGCACTCATGATGAAACAACAGCCATGCCATGTGTGTGTGTCCACAGACGGCCATGTAAACTGGCTACCTGGTGCGGAAAACCGTACTTGATAATTGTTACAAAGCCTGGCTCTAAAATCACCAAAACAGGAAATAACTCTGCGGATAGACACAAACATTTGTTACTCTCAGAAATTTTTGATAAAGATCTTGCTAGTTTCAGTCGTTTTTCAAAAATATTTGCCTGACAGTTTGTTGCCAACTTTTGGCCTTCACCTAAATGTGCCTCCATTGCTGCACGATATGAATAGTTCTCGGCATGGCCCATTTACCAACAGGAACCACTCTCACGGTGCGTACATGTTTGGAACAGGTGTATGCATCTGTGACTGAAAATTGCTGTACCAAATGACTGCTATACCAAACATTTTGTGTGGACCCCATCATGTTCGTTATACTGGCATTCCACTGTACTGCAAACCCGTTATTGAAGGCAAATTGGATTTGTACATCAAGAAGCAATTTAAGCATTTAATTGCACTGATTTTAGTTAACAATTTTACATCACATTTTTGGATTGTTTACTATTGAACGTTGGTGATATTTAGCCCCAGCAAGCCATGATAAATACACACTTGTATCTGGTCTCATCTGCATTTGTAAATAAAGCACTGTGTAGATCATATAAGGATGCATTGTGAATGTAGAAGAACGCACAGAGGTACAGTGGACTTTATCCATGAAACCTCAACCCTTAGCAGTGTTTGTCTGATTGCTGCTGCTAGCACTAACATGTACATGTACATTGTTAGCGTGCATATGCACCTGTACACATGTACACATACAGATGAAATTTGAAGTGTATAATGTACATGTACATGCATTGTACTGATGCATGTTTATATGGTGTTGTGCATGCAGAGTTCATGATCCATGCAGAATTCATGATCCATGTACGTACTAATATGATGATGGCATGCCATTCTAATCCCACTACATGTACATGCATTTGAAAGGCAACTTAAAATAAGTGAATTGTAATATATGAACATGTACATGTATGTAAGTATGCCTTCCTAGGTGCGTGAGCAAATTGGTTCAACATAAGCACTACTCTGTATACTCCCATACAGTGTTTTGTCCATTGTACCTATCATAGCTACCAGTACATGTAGAAAACTTTTTTATTCATCACCATCAAATCAAATCAAATCAAATCAATCTATCTACTACTACTCCCACTCCTCCTCCTACTCATAACATTTCTTTCCTAACTTGCCACCTCTGGGGCCGTGGGTTTGAATTTGGCACAGTCCACATGTGGATAGGGTTTTGAATCCCTACCTGAGTCCATGGGTTTTCCCTGAAACATTTATCTCAGGTTTTCTTCTCACCTCTAAAACTGAACATTTCTCCAGTGTACTATGTTACTCAGTATAATCCTGTAATTTGGACTAAATGTGCTGTTGGATCATCAGATATGCATACATAAATTACTGGTATCATTAACACTCATATGTTACAGGTGACATAAAGTGACATTTCATTCCTAAAATAGCTTCACCTTCCTACTGCCATATTGCTATTGTATAGAGACTGTGCCGTACTTCAGAGTGACATTGGGTTTTTTGCAGATACTGTCAGGAAGTTAAAATTCATATCTTTTGTTTTCATGGTTAAATACATGTATATGCTGCATGTATGCTTCTCTGTGTAATGTACATTGTACATGTACATACAGATGAATGCAGACAAATGCACACAGACCAGACAGGTTGACGCTAAATAACTGAACTTACTGACAGATCCTGTGTTCAAACTGTTCCAATGCTTCAATAAAATAGTTGTAGCTTCTCGTGTTCCAAGTTAGAATAAATGAAACTGGTACCCCCTTGACAGATGGTTCAATCAAATACTTTGACCCACATGTACTGGTACCAGTACTGTGCATTTCAGGGCATATGCAGGGTAAGAATTTCAAGGGGGGCATCAGAGGCTTGATGCACCTGATCTTTGCCATTAACATGCTCCCAAATACAAGTTGATTGTCTGATAATAAGTGCTGCTGTGAAGATGGAATTGGCTTGCCCCTTCAAGAAGGAAGTTCCTGCCCTATAAATAGAACCTTGCTAGTGAACAGGAGTTCAAGAAACCAACCAACCAAAGACATGTACTGTACATCGCACAACCATTAACCTGGTTGTGTTTGGCTTTCTTTGGATTTTTCTCTAGTGACATTGACTTGGTGGTGTTTGGGGATCTGGGGGATTGCCCATTCTTCAGGATTGGTAACGAATTGGAGAAAAGCCACATTGCTGAAATGGGCTCCATCAAAGTGCTTGACAAAGCTTCGGTAAGTGTAAACACGTGTGGATAGTCGATCCGTTTGTGATGTATTTATAGAGCCAGGAGGATATGGGTCAGAACCTTTGGGAACTGTACAAAGACTGTATTATACAAACCCTCCTGCTTCAGCAGTTAAACTTTAAAGTGAGGTCTGTACTTTGTACTTAATGTAGCATAAATTTGTGTTCTCCATTTTTGTTGATTTGTAAAGTCTGGTTCATTAGGAAGTGAATGATTGACCATTTTTATCTTATTGGGTCAGTTTCTGCCTAAAATATGCAAACTGTTTTCAGTAACTTTTATGAATTAAACCTTTCAAATTTAGCATATGAAATGAAACCAAAGTCCCAAACGCACCAGAAAATAAGATGCAGATGCAAGGCAATTTTATGTAGCTTTTGTCAACAACTACAAATAACATTTTTCCCCAACAAATGGGATATTGGATTAGAGAATACGGTGGAGAAAGAAATTCACCTGTAAAGATCCAAAATTCTTGTTCACAATTGTGCAGGGTTCTTGATGTTACATGTAGTTCCCACTTCTGAGCTGTTGCCAAATCAAAAATATTGATACGCTTTGGCTATAATCCTGAGGAGTTGCCGAGAAGAAATGATTCAACAAAGCAAGCTTATATGGCATATCTACATACACGGCCTATGTTTAAATGATGAGTTTAAATGGTCAGTAGGATAAGAGATGGTTTGATGGTTTCCACAGGTTGTTCATTTTACTTGTTTGCTCATTAATTGATAGGAAGAATTTTTTGTCACTTCTCAAACTCCTAGGTTCCTATTGTGAAGCTGACAGATGACCAGACTAAGGTCAAGGTGGACATCAGCTTCAACATGCGGTCAGGTATCGCCTGTGCTAAGCTGATTGAGGACTTTATCAAGCAGTTTCCATGCCTACCACATCTTGTCTTTGTCTTGAAGCAATTCTTGCTGCAACGAGAACTGAATGAAGTCTGGACTGGAGGTATCAGTTCCTACAGTCTGATCCTCATGGCCGTCAGTTTTCTTCAGGTATCCAATTTGAATTCCTTATCTAAATCCAAGAAGCTGGTCACCTCTACACTTACAGACATTTCCTGGGTTTCTTTCAATATCCCTGCATCCTCACCATTGTCCTACTCACTAGTTTGAGGTCATGAGGATACGTGATCTCTCTCTGAAAGACAAAATTTGTCTTGATATGTTTATCAATTGAATCCTAGGGACTGTAATTGCCAAAGAGGTGAGTCAATTCCTCAAGGAATGGATTGATGGATCAAGCTTAGGGCTTCAAGTTTAACATTGATGCTGCAGTGTTTCAGCATAGGGATCAGTCTATTTATTTGTGTCAGTCATAGATTTTTAAAGTAACCACTTTCTTTAACAGTGTTTAGGATCTTTGTTAACCCTAACCCTACATAATACTCCAAATTACTACTTGTAGTAAAATGTAGTACTGAGCGCTGTTGCTTGTAAGAGGACATGACTTTATTCTTCTGTGAAGCTATAAAATACAATAGATAAGACAATGTACCATACAGTGCTGTGGCACTATGAATGCATGGCTTTATTGTTCTCTGTACAAGTAACGATGGAAGTAACTTAGCCAGAAATAGTAATCTGTAGCGCTAGATCCTTCAGGCTCAGACTATTAGTATTTTGTGGTACTGTGTAGTGTAAGCCAAACAATATGCTTGGCGGTTAGGGTTAATGTGATTCTCAAATTTATTTCTGTCATTTCTATGGTAGATGCATGTACAGCCTGAACCAACCAATCTTGGTGTGCAGCTCATTGAATTCTTTGAGCTGTATGGTGTCAACTTCAACTACTTCAAGACAGGCATCAGTGTGATGGATAGAGGATACTACTTCTCCAAGGATGATGCTAGAGGGAAGATGGGCCAAGGATATGGTACCTCCTTGCTCTGCATTGAGGATCCTTTGAATCCAGGTTCGCAAAGAGGAATATTGCATTTGGAAATATTAAGAGAAATGATTAACTACCTCCCCCCACAGAATATCAAAGTAAGACCCAGATTTCCCCAGAGTGGCAAAAGTGACTAGTGAAGTTGTATTTCCTTGAAATGATGTATAAACGGTACCCTGAACAGTCCCAAATCCTCCAATTTCAATGTGATTTTACATACTGGGGAGTTAGGGTTAATGAATATCCACACTGTTTGATTTTTCTTACCTTTCTGAGTTTGCCCATTATCTATTCAGATGTTTTGATTTGAAACTCCGAGCTTAAATTCACTAAAATGGCACAGTTTCGGCAAGTGGTGGCAATAAAGTAATCTTTCACCATCACCAAATTGGATGCTGCAAGTTAATCTCAGCCATTTCCCTGCTCTGAAGTATTGCTAAACTAAAATAACAATGGGGATAAAATTGTGGACTTCAATTTTATTTTTATTAACAAATGTGAATGATTAATTTGTTTTCTGTCTGAAGGGACTGACATATGCAAGAATTCCTATGGTTTCATGGAGGTACGCAATGCATTCCGCTATGCTTACAGTGTTCTGAAGCAAGCCTTGCTGAATCAACTTGATCAAGAGGAGTGCACCGATAGGTACCGTCCACATTTTTCCAAATATCCCTTCTTCTTGGTTTGATCATTGATTTGTCATGATATCCAGCATTCAAAACACATAATTGTTTCTATCTGTGCTTTGGGGATCTGAAAGGTTGTTTCAGATCATCTGTTATAAATGTGAAGATTCCCAAATATAAGTGAGAAGGCATGCCAGGCTTGCATATGTGTTACTTTAATATATTTATAGCATATAGTTTAATTTTAGTGCATCATTTGGAGACCATAGATGCTCCCTTACATCTGATCACAGTTTGCTGCCATAATGCATTTTGCTTAAACCAAAAGTGTTCCACATCCAAAACAGATCTTTTGTCTATACCAAGATCAACAGGAAGGAAGGAGCAGAAATTCCCTGCAGTGATATA